CAACATACACTGTATAGTATCTATTTTACATGGAGTATTTTGTTTAACAAGAAATGCAGCTAATATCTTCAACAGAAAATTAAAAATCTAATGCTTTTTAAAAAGAAAATTCAAGTTATTTATGAGAGTTTCACCAGAATAAATTAAATGTAACTAAATTTCAGTCCCCAAAGAGACAGAATATATTATTATTATTATTCCATAAATCTTTACCTGCCCCATCTGGATTCAGCAATTCTACTTTGAAAGCCTTTTCTAGCTCAGGGAGAGAATTGTCTGTAATGTTCACAAGAATGTGCTTGTATCTTTCTCCTGGCAGAAATTCCAAGGTCCCTGTAATTCCCTGCAGGGAAAAAAAGCTGTTAAAAGATCCACATGAGGCCACTATATGTGTCAAGCTGTCATTTACTTGGGACAGGTCCATAGTTGCCATAGAGGCCACAAACGTCTGAGCCATCTTGGACTCAGCATCATGGGGTGCCAAATTAAAACATCCAGGCACCAAAAGCCTAGGGAACTCTATTACCAATTCAGCCATGGAATGCAGAAGCTAAGGCAAGAATCCCACAGGTAGCAGGGACAGCAGTATCCTAGCACCAATCCCAACTATTCCCTTTACTCTGAAACACTGACAAGAATACATTGGACATACTATTTCAGTGATAAACTCATTGAAGCTAACTGGCCTCTATCAACCCTTTTAGAGAGCCGCTCACATACCTGATAATCTTGAGGGCTGAATGCTGTTAGTGCAACTGTTCTGTATTGTGCCACAATTGTCCCAAGCAGGCCTTGTGATCGAACAACAAGCAAGCTGACTTGTCCTATTTCTTCCTTGATAGTAATGTGGGGTGCTGTCATGGCTGAAAGAATGGTTTCATCAGTACCTGAAGGAGGCTGCCCAACAGAGAACTGCAACAAACCTGGCAAGTGAAAAAATATATCTTGTATTATTTATCCTTAGATGCGGGCAAAACATTTATTAATAAAAAATACTTTTGTCTCTGATACATAAATTGAATATATAAAGATCCACGTCCATTTGGGCTACAATTTCCACTGAATTTGCATACAGATATGGGAAAATATGTTAAGGTATGCAATTTTGCAATTGGGTAATTAATTCCAGCAAAAAAGGTTCTTGGCTTTCTCCAGTTGGCATAGGATAATTATGAAAAGTTAATAGTTCTCCTGAAAAAAAGAAAACATAGAAAAGCAGGCGCTATGTAGAATGTCTGCTAATTCTTAGATGACAAATAGTATAAATTATTTAAATATTTATAGCAACTAATTAAATCTATATTTATCTATCTATCTATCTATTGATAAAAAACAACTATTCAAACAGAAAAACAATAATAAATGATATACTGTATATATGCCACAGGAGACAACCATAGGAAGCTACATCCAACTTATGTTTGTCATCTTTTTCATTTCATTTTTCATTTTATTAAATTTATACCCCGCCCTTCTCCCGTAGGACTCAGGGCGGCTTACAGCCAGTTAAAACAATTTAATACAATACAATAGAAATTTTAAAAAATCATTAAAAATAAATATATAATCGGCCGCTTCTACTAAAATTTGGCTAAAACCAATTTAAAATACCCCTAGGCCAGTCCTGCCCGCTGG